TAGAGCATGAGTGTCCGCCATACTGCTAGTTTGCTGAATACCTATGTATCGTAATCGTAAATGGTAAATGGTAAATCGTAATTAATAAATGACTTGAATTGAAAGTTCAATTACTAGAAAGTGAGTTTTCAATTTCAAAACCAACCTGCTCTCGTTGATGATTCTATTTCCCACTCTTCGCGAGCCTTACTAACCATGTCTAATACGTGTGAAACTACCTTATTATATTGTGTTACTTGCTTCATTGCCGTTTCCATGGTCAAGTTGGAAGCTTTCTGTTCACTCTGAATCATTTTTTGTTCAGTGATAGGGTCCGGTTTAGTGCGCAAATAATCGGGTACAATGTCATGCGAAAATACCGGCACACGCCCTTGAGTGAGATTTACCAACGATTCATCTCGTTCTGGTGACAGCATAAGCGGCAGCACAGTACGATTTCGTAACGGTGGGCAAACTTCCTTGGCAAGAATCTTAGACAATCCTGTCAGCTAGTATGAGAAATTAGATTTACAGAAAACGCACCATTGATTTGTTGGGACTTACATGGCTTGATATAATGGCGAAATTGTCAAGAAATGTTGGCCAATTAATGATCTCGTATTCAGTCTCCAATTTCTGTATCATCCCTCCGATCGATATCTTTAAGTCATTTAAGCGATTGAGGATAGCATCCAGCGTCATTTCCATTTGCTTCTCTTCACGTTGCATTGTCGGGGTTTTTAATATAAAAGCTATCTTGGAATCTTTGTTTATTTGTATTTACTTTTTGCTTAGAGGTGGTAAACTACTATCGATTGCTAATGCTTTCCCTTCTAAAATGTCGAAAGTATGTGATATAATGTGCGATATAGGCGACTCGATTTAAAACAGCATAAAGGCCCGTTTACATAGAACTTTGGCGTTGCGTTGGCGTTGGCGTCGCTTCAACAGCTGACTATGAATACATGAATTCAAATGCAGCCGTCCACATAGCCAAAATTCGACAACGCTCACGCCAACACAAAGCAAAAAGATGGCCAACTCTCAACTTTTCGCGTGCGTCGCTCGTCAGCTGTTGCGAATAAATAAAATTATGTGAAATATTTTTCCTTTTTAATCAAGTGCGGGCAAGAAATATCGTTTTTAATGCAATTATTGATATGAAATATTAATTTATCTGTCGTTAATATGTTAATTTAGTGGCCCAAGGATTCGCCGCCAAGCGTTCATTGTAGCAAGCATACTTTTAACGTGCGTTCTGTCAAACCAACGCCAACGCCAACGCAACGCCAAAGTTGTATGTAAACGGGCCTTAAGCTAATCAAAATTTTTTACGGACAATAGAGAATCTCCTGCAAAATTGCTGGCAAGTTGCTCTACAACAAGGAACTATCTGAACAGAAATACAGAATATCATGGTGATGGTACGTTTCGGGGTAGTAGTGCACTTTGGCGAAGGTAGGTCAAAATGGACGGAAAAAGTTCGAGAGTGGTATCAAGCGACGCGTCTTAACGCCAATAATAACAATCCGAGACCGGAAATTAACATTTTTATACCCGAGCGCACTTGTGCACAAGGGTATATTAATTTTGTTCACATAACGGTTGTTTGTAACAGCCAAAACGAATCGAGATAGATATAGACAAATGTATACATAAATGATCAGGATAAAAAAAGAAATCGATTAAGCCATGTCTGTCTGTCCGTCCGTCTGTCCGTCTGTCCGTCTGTCCGTGTACACGATAACTCGAGCAAAAATTGAGATATCTCAACGAAATTTGGTATGTAGGTTTCCCTTAATCCAAGGTAGGTTGCTATTGAAAATGGGCGAAATCGGACTGTAACCACGCCCACTTCCCATATAACGGTAATTTCCAGAAATACGAAAACTGCGATATTTTAGTAACTACTGAAGATAAATCACTCAAAATTGGTATTTACAATAATTTTTTGACAAAAAATAATAATATTATACATTTTTGGAAAATGGGCGTAGCCACGCCCACTTATGGTTACATGTGTATATCTTGGTAACCGCTGTACCAATTTCTACCAAACTTGGCACAGTTGTCGGCCTTCGTACAGCATACAAAATCGCCTAAAATTTTTAAAATCGGACGATAACCACGCCCACATCCCATATAACGGTAATTTAGAGAAATACAAAATCTTCGATAAATCAGTAAATATTGAAGCTAATTTATTCAAAATTGATGCTTGCAACAATTCTTTATCAAGAAATACGTTTGTGATAAATTTTTGGAAAATGGGCGTGGCACCGCCCACTTATGATCACATATATGTATCTCAGTAACCGTTCTACCAATTTGTACCAAACTCGGTGTGGTTATTGTGCTTGCCACATATAAGCAAACCGTTGAAAATTATTGAAATCGGACTAAAATAACGGCCGCTTCTCATATAACGGTAAATTTCAGAACTGCTTGAAACTTCAAAATTTCGAAATCTAAGGACTCTAATTTACTCAAAATTGATACGCCCCGGCTTACCATATAGCCGTAGCTTTCGGTAAGGCGAAAAACATATATTTAATACGTGCGCCGGGTATTTAATGTTCGGCTCTGCCCGAACTTAGGCTTTCTTACTTGTTAATATTTAAAGAGTTATTTGCAAAAAACACTTGCACTTTCCGCACTATGTTTTGATGAATTTCACGCAAATGAATGGAATAAATGAACTTAATTTAACACGTTTTTATTAGTTTTTATGGGAAATGTTTAGTACCACTCACACCGTTTTTTGGGTGGGGGGAGGGGGCGGGGCCCCCAAAACACCCCCCAATAGAAAGGAGACAGTCGCCGCTTTCTCCCTTGGACTCCTCCCACAGGCACCTAGGGAACCGTTTGAAAAAGGGGGAAAAACGGATTTTTCTTAGGCAAACTGAGCAGTTTGAAGTGGAATATGACCCAACTAACAGAAACCGTGGGATTTTTTAATAAAAGAAATTATGCCAAATTAAATATGGGGGGATTTTGAATAAAGAATAAAAAGTTAATTAAAAATTAGAAAAAAAAAGTTTTTATAAAAAAAAATGTTCTTTTTAACAAATGTATTTTTGCGTAGAATTCCTTTCTACGTAAGCGGCCTTCGGCCGCACTTAGGGATTATAACCCTCAGGCAGTAGAATTCTCCTTTCTGTGTTGCCAAAGAAGGGGGGCTGAACACCTTTTGCAGAGAACACCTTTCTGCGTAGGCGGCCTTCGGCCGCACTTAGGGATTATAACCCTCAGGCAGTAGAATTCTCCTTTCTGTTTTGCGAAGAAAAGGAGCTGAACACCTTTGTATATTTTTAATGCTTCTGGGTTATATCCTATCTTCTTTTGTCTCTCATTCTTTTGCATATTTTGGAGTTTGACAGCTGAACTCCGCCATTTAATTTGCATATGCAACCAAAGTCAGACGCGTGATTTTGAAGGTGTTTTTATTTAATGAATTGTGATGAATTGGTTAATATTAAAGTCGTAAAGCAAGTTATAACAAATCAAGTAAAGTGTAAAGTGAAGGGGAATACAAAAATATATTGGTAAAAGTGGCTAATTTAAGCAGAATAGGAGTGATAAATGTACGCTAATTTCCGAATTTTACAAAAAAGGGCATATTTCAAACCCAATTTGTAAATAAATTAGTAACCAAAATTTACAAAAGTGAGTGTTAAAATATTGCGTGGACCCTTGACTACAAGTGTGTGAAATTTTTTTTTGGATCGGGCCACCCATTTGGACGGAATAGCCCGAAATAGTTGTGAGCGGTACTAAACCCCACCCGTTTTTATACATTTGTGATGTTTTAAGTGTACACTTTCCCGAAATTCTGTATTTAATAGCAATATTCCGATGGTGAAAATCCGCACAACAACCTTGTGTAGTTCACGATTGAGAGAAATAGAGATTGCGCCAATCGCGGTACCGCTAATCCGCTCTTTGTGATTTTGACAGAACCAGCTGTGTGCATGACGACATCTTGGTGCAATTGTTGATTGTGAGCATACGAAAAAACCAAATAACAATTTTAATATTTGTGCGGTAATATTTCTGCGTGGTTTTAAACACACAGACATTACAAAGCAAAATGAAGTGTGCAGTGGCAAAGTGTAATAGTGAAAACAAAAGGAAAGCGTGCGATATAAGTTTTTTTCGTTTCCTACGGACGCAAACCTGGCGAAAAAGTGAAAGCAGTTCTGCCTGCGAGGAGATGCATTAAAAACCAAATCGAGCTTTGTGCTATGTGTGTGAGCTATGAGCTTCTACATGGAACTATTTTGGCCTTTCCTTGGTGAATTGTAGTAGGTGTATGTAGACAGTTCCTGGTTTAGTTTGCTGGCAATGGCATACATACAAAAGCAGTTTCTACAGTAAATAGATACATGAACTTGACTACCTACCTATTTTTGTTAGTACCTGGTTATTTTGCTGGTATGAGGTAATGCACCAGTGGATAAGGTCGCCAGGCGCTAATTCAAGCGGCATCTTACCGCGCTGTTACGTACCTAATACAAAACAGTGCCCAAATTATTATACATTTAAAAGTTCAGCTTAAATTATGTTT